AGACCATGCGGTGGAGTCGCGTAGACGCTAGGTTTGAGGGGCGCAAAAACTTTGATGGTTTGCTGTTGACTCGTTGACCCTTTAGCATGTGCACGAAAGAGGCTCCGCATGTTGTGTTGCCGAGCTGTGTCGTGCCCACATGTATGATTTGTGCCTGCGGCGCACGGCATCAGTCACGCTTTGTGCGCTTGCTGCAAGTCCACCCTCCGGGGTGCGAGAGCATTGTCATGCCATTATACAGTAGTGATGCGGCACGTGTTGGTAGGACTGACCGACACTTTGTGCAACCTAACGTTGTCCAGCGCTTACAGAATGCGACCCTGAGAGAGCCACAGCCTAAGTTGAATGTGGAGGGCATCCAGCTGCCCATTGCCTGCAAAGTTTGACGTTTGGGAGGCCATCCAACTACCCCAGCATCCGCGGTGCAGCGTGCGAGTCTGAGCATCCAACTGCCCAGCTAGCGCCTGCCAAGTTTGACGGAAGGCATATGAAGCATCAAACTACCCAGCAGTCTGCAGTTGATTGCTTGTTTTCATGTTTGAGCTTGCAGGGCATCCAACTACCCAGCAGCATGGTCAGAAGGTGCCGCGCCCCAGTGCTCTGAATGTCAAGAGATTCCCACTGTCCCTACGTACTAGCCGCTTTCACGTGAGTGAGCGAGCCGCCGTGATTTCTGCCCAGTGCTCTGAATGTCACAGTGATGCAATTCAAGCAAGCGCGGGCAAACAGCGGGGGTGACGGGCAACTCTTCAGGTCGCAGCATTGTGATGGTCAGAAGGTGTCGCGCCCCAGTGCTCTGAACGTCAAGAGATTCCCACTGTCCCTACGTACTCCCAGAACCTCCAAAACCCCTTGATTAAGGAATGTACCTTCAATCATATTAGGGATCCGATTATAATTTAAGGTACATTCCTTAATTAAGGGGTTTTGGAGGCTCTGGGCTATCCGCTTTCATGTGAGTGAGCGAGCCGCTGTGATTCTGCCCAGTGCTCTGAATGTCACAGTGATGCAATTCAAGCAAGCACGGGTAAAGGGTAACGCTTCAGGTCGCAGCATCAGCATGGTCAGAAGGTGCCGCGCCTCAGTGCTCTGAATGTCAAGTCCCTACGTACTAGCCTTTTTCACGTGAGTGAGCAGCCGCCGTGATTTCTGCCCAGTGCTCTGAATGTCACAGTGATGCAATTCCGCCGTGATTTCTGCCCAGTGCTCTGAATGTCACAGTGATGCAATTCAAGCAAGCGCGGGCAAACAGCGGGGGTGACGGGCAACTCTTCAGGTCGCAGCATTGTGATGGTCAGAAGGTGCCGCGCCCCAGTGCTCTGAACGTCAAGAGATTTGTCCCTACGTACTCCCAGAACCTCCAAAACCCCTTGATTAAGGAATGTACCTTCAATCATATTAGGGATCCGATTATAATTTAAGGTACATTCCTTAATTAAGGGCTTTTGGAGGCCCTGGGCTATCCGCTTTCATGTGAGTGAGCGAGCCGCTGTGATTTCTGCCCAGTGCTCTGAATGTCACAGTGATGCCATTCAAGCAAGCACGGGTAAAGGGTTACGCTTCAGGTCGCAGCATCAGCATGGTCAGAACGTGCCGCGCCTCAGTGCTCTGAATGTCAAGAGATTCCCACAGTCCCTCCGTACTAGCCGCTTTCACGTGAGTGAGTGAGCCGCCGTGATTTCTGCCCAGTGCTCTGAATGTCACAGTGATGCAATTCCGCCGTGATTTCTGCCCAGTGCTCTGAATGTCACAGTGATGCAATTCAAGCAAGCCCGGGCAAACAGCGGGGGTGACGGGCAACTCTTCAGGTCGCAGCATTGTGATGGTCAGAAGGTGCCGCGCCCCAGTGCTCTGAACGTCAAGAGATTCCCACTGTCCCTACGTACTTCCAGAACCTCCAAAACCCCTTGATTAAGGAATGTACCTTCAATCATATTAGGGATCCGATTATAATTTAAGGTACATTCCTTAGTTAAGGGGTTTTGGAGGCTCTGGGCTATCCGCTTTCATGTGAGTGAGCGAGCCGCTGAGATTTCTGCCCAGCGCTCTGAATGTCACAGTGATTGCGCTACACTGATGCGCTCAAGGCCGAATTCCTGTTTGAAATGCTTCGTGATGCGGAGAGATCATTGCAGTTATTGATCTTGAACAAGGAATTCGCGCGACACTAATGTGCGGAGGGCGGGGGTAGGCAGGGGGTGAAGGAGGGCGGGCAGGAGGGAGGGAGAGAGTCAGGGAGGGAGAGAGAGCGAGGGAGGAAGTGAGCGACAAAGTGAGTGGGGGAGTGAGTGAGGCAAACTTTGTTGCAACGCGGCGAAAGTGTTGGCCAAAACGAGGCCAAACGAAGACTGATGCGTCCGAAACGCTTTAAAAACAATTTTCCGAATGCAGTGGTAGGGACTGCGCGCGTTTTGAGTCGCGGCGGATGCCTGGCAAACTTTGTTGCAACGCGGCGAAAGTGTTGGCCAAAACGAGGCCAAACGAAGACTGATGCGTCCAAAACGCTTTAAAAACAATTTTCCGAATGCAGTGGTAGGGACTGCGCGCGTTTTGAGTCGCGGCGGATGCCTTGGCAAACTTTGTTGCAGCGCGGCGAAAGTGTTGGCCAAAACGAGGCCAAACGAAGACTGATGCGTCCGACACGCTCTTAAATCAATTTTCCGAATACAGTGGTAGGGACTGCGCGGGTTTTGAGTCGCGGCGGATGCCTTGGCAAACTTTGTTGTAACGACGCGAAAGTGTTGGCAAAAACAAGGCCAAACGAAGACTGATGCGTCCGAAACGCTTTAAAAACAATTTTCCGAATACAGTGGTAGGGAATGCGCGGGTTTTGAGTCGCGGCGGATGCCTTGGCAAACTTTGTTGTAACGACGCGAAAGTGTTGGCAAAAACAAGGCGAAACGAAGACTGATGCGTCCGAAACGCTTTAACAACAATTTTCCGAATGCAGTGGTAGGGAATGCGCGGGTTTTGAGTCGCGGCGGATGCCTTGGCAAACTTTGTTGTAACGACGCGAAAGTGTTGGCAAAAACAAGGCGAAACGAAGACTGATGCGTCCGAAACGCTTTAACAACAATTTTCCGAATGCAGTGGTAGGGACTGCGCGCGTTTTGAGTCGCGGCGGATGCCTTGGCAAACTTGGTTGAAGCGCCGCGAAAGTGTTGGCAAAAACAAGGCCAAACAAAGACTGATGCGTCCGAAACGCTTTAAAAACAATTTTCCGAATGCAGTGGTAGGGACTGCGCGCGTTTTGAGTCGCGGCGGATGCCTTGGCAAACTTTGTTGAAGCGCCGCGAAAGTGTTGGCAAAATCAAGGCCAAACGAAGACTGATACGCACCTATCTTTGCATTCGGAAACTTGTCTTGATAGCCTTACGGCCAAATTCTGCGATGTTTCTTTTCTGTTTACCAATACAATCAATACAAACTGCTGTGAGTGAGAGAGAGAGAGAGAGAGAGAGAGAGAGAGAGAGGGAGAGAGAGAGAGACAGAGGGAGAGAGAGAGAGAGAGAGGGAGAGAGAGAGAGAGAGAGAGAGAGTGCGAGGGAGCGAGGCAGGGAGTGAGGGAGGGAGGGACGCGGGAGCCTGCGAGACTCGAGTTTGATGTCGTTCTTGAGATCTTCCAAGCAAACAGTCCCTGAGTGCAGAGTGGAACTTTTGCACAAGCAGTCCAAGTTGTTGCCATCGCAGACAGAGTCTTGGCCCTGGCAGTGTTTGAAAGCAAGGAAGTGTGCGCATGACTGCGAGGGCGCAGTGAGAGGATCAGAGCGCATTCTGTCACGGAAGAGCGAAAAAACTATATGTCTCGCTGACTCTTCCGTCTGACGTGGGCAAAAGTCTTGACCAGGATGGGCTATGATGACACGCCAGACATGCTGCGGCCCCAGTGTGTGTAAGAGCAAAGGGAGAGAACTCCCGACTGTAATGAATTCCTGCGTCATGCGAGGGCATCTGACACCTCCCGACTGTAATAGATTCCCTGAGTTATACGAGGGCGTGGTTGATGAAGTGGCCATTTGTTTCCAAGACGCAACCGGACTGGAGACCACGAGTAATCAGCTCATGGATAAAGACCCGGAGACCACTAGAATACACCAGAATGTTCGGCGGTGCCCGGTGCCGGGACATTTCAGGAGCGCAAAGCCTCGCAAAAACCGTGGTCCTGCAAATCCGTGTTTTAGATTAATAATTCTATGCTCCCACAGCGGTTTTGAAGGACCCCAGGTGTCACCTTGCAGTTCTGGTCTGCCGTGGTCCTGCGCGGTCCTGCGGTAGTGGTTTCTGCAATGAGAGCAGGTCCAGATAGGTAGAGGTTGGGTCCTGCTCCGTTCCTGCGCAGCGTTTCGCAGGCTTAAACAGTGGATGCTGCGTATCATGTCATGAAGAATCCTGTCAAAGCAGCGTCTAAAGCCCAGGGTTTGTCGGTAGTCATTCTGCCAACGGGGCCCTCCAAACCAGAGACTTCCTCAGTTCTCGGGAGCAGCACAGGATGACATGTTGGACGTCGTAGGCCAAGAGATCGTCAACATGTTCTGGTCTTGAAGCCATAGCCTGCTGTTAATTGGTGAGTACCGTGCATGCGAAGCAGGCATTTTGCCGAAGCCATGTTCCTTTTGCCCGCAAAACGTCGTCGTTTGCAGGGCAAGCAGAGCCCGCCCGAGGGGGCAAACACCAGGGAAGCACGGACGCAGGTGCAGACCTTGGTCCGAGATGCGTGGGTGGCGAGGAGAATGGTCGAGGAAGGCTCACATGGGCACGCGCGGCGTAACATCTTGCGTGTGGAGTTTAGTAATGTGGAGCAGAGAGCTCCATTGCTAGAGGCCATGTGGGGCCGAATTCCCGTGCATCTCATGGCAGCGGCCAGGGCTGTTTTGGCCGCTTGGCGTACAGAACAGCCTATAGTGATGAACGAGCAGCCGCTGCCTTCCTATCGAGGTTCTGGCACAATGTTCAGATACAGTGGTTCCTGGTCCAAGATCCCAGATGTCAGGGCCAGCGCAATGCTGGCAGAAGGCGACGCAAGGATTGCCGATGTGTGTCGCCTCTTGCAGGACAATGCCGATGTTGCAGCCCTTTGGAGAGATTTCCAACGTTTTGCCGAGCAGCTACGGCAAAGCAGCAAGATGGATCGGTTGACTTTGGCGTGTGAGCTGCACACAGCTGTGAGTCTGGACACGCTGACGCCCAGCATCCACTTCCATCTCATGTTTGACTCCAGATGCTTGGCGCCGGCGCAGTTATTCTGAACTTTTGTCCAGATCCAAGTTCTGAATTCTTCGTCATACGTCCCCTTGTGTTTTGAAATCTTGATGGAGCGTGAAAATTTCAGCCACATGCAACAGGACTTGTCGTCAACAGTGTTCCTGGTAGGCCAGATGATCCCCCATGCCCCTTTTGCTCTTGATGTAGCAACAAGGACAGACGGTGACGCTGCCGAAGCCCAGTCTGTTGTTTCGTGGCGCCGTTCCGCATCAGTCTGTGGAGTGCAAGCAAGCCCGTGGGAAAGCTTGCCGAAAGGCCTACGACCAGGGGCACTACTACCTGCAGGTGCCAAAGACTGGCTCCATTCATATGACGACGACAGCAGCAGCCTTCACCACCTTCCCTGTTGCTCCGGATTGGATCACCAACTTATGGCAGGCCTGTAAAATCACGGAGCAGGTTGCGGAGCAGGAGTATTTGCGCTGCAAGAAACACGTGAAAGCCTACTTAGACAACATGAAGTTCCATGCCCAATGCGTGCAGACACAGGTCGTCAAAGCGAGGAAGGCGCAAGATCTCCAGGAGCTTCAGCCCCTCATGAAAAAGGCCGTCGTGATCGAGCAAGTCCAGCGTGACTTCCTTCCACAATTTACCCGACCCATGTTCAGAAGGAGCTTTTTGGTCCTAAGTGGACCCACGCGCCTTGGCAAAACAATCTTTGCCCGCAGTCTCTTCGGTCATCGCGAGACACTAGAACTCAACTGCTGTGGAGTGAGTCAACCTGATTTGCGTGCCTTTGACAATTTGCTGCATCGAGCCATCTTGTATGACGAAGCTTCGACGGCTATGGTGCTCAGCAACCGTCGCCTTTTCCAGGGATCTACAGAAGAGGTCACGCTCGCTCATTCTGGAACAAACATGTTCACCTACAGTGTGTACGTCTACAACGTCGCCATGATCCTGACATCGAACTCTTGGCTACGTGAGCTGGAGGAATTGCCGAGAGAGGAGCGCGAGTGGCTCGAAGGTAATTCAATTTGTATAAATTGCACGCAGCCGCTTTATGAGACGTAACAGCCAAGACACGAGAAAGCTCTGACCGTTCCGGAGATGTTAGAGGCTTCTGAAGCCCGCGAGCCAATCCGAAGCGCGGAGAACTGCAAGGTCCGAGCTCTCAAGGAACAGCCGGTAGCTGCGAGCCCTTCAACCCCAATCTCCAAGCCCTAACAGCGGTCAAGCTCCATGGAGCACACCTCGGAACAGCCGGTAGCCCCGAGCCCTTAAACTCGAAGCCCTAACACCGGTCAAGGTCCACGGAGTCACCTGCAGCTTGATGGACGTGGCCTCGGAAGCGTCATGTAAAGTATGACGAGTTCCGAACAACAGAGAGTGATGGTTCCAGACATTGTGTGTATATGTGGAGAGAGAGAGAGAGAGAGACAGAGAGAGAGAGAGAGAGATAGATAGATAGATAGATAGATAGATAGATAGATAAATAGTGCGCGCGTGTATGTGGGTAGGTGTGTATGTGCGTGCGTGTGTGTGTGTGTGTGTGTTTATTGGGAGTTCTCTCACAGTATTCTTTTCCGTGAAATGCTGTCAACTAGACGGGTGCATACATGTTCCGTCTGCTTTGTTTTGGTTCCCTCCAAGTCCTAAATCATGCATCGTCTTGCAGATACGCTTTTCTCTAAATGTTTGGCCGTCAAAGGCTAGAGGAGTGCATACATGTTCCGTCTGCTTTGTTTTGGTTCACTCCAAGTCCTGGATTATGCATCGTCTTGCAGATACGTACCGGAAAACATGCATCGTCTTGCAGATACGCTTTTCTCTAAATGTTCGGCCGTCAAAGGCTAGAGGAGTGCATGCATTTACCGTCCGATGGGTTTGGTTCACCCCAAGCCCTAAATTATGCATCGTCTTGCAGATACGTGCCGGAAAACATGCATCGTCTTGCAGATACGCATTTCTCTAAATGTTTGGCCGTCAAAGGCTAGAGGAGTGCATGCATTTTCCGTCCGATTTGTTTTGGTTCACTCCAAGTCCTAAAGAATGCATCGTCTTGCAGATATGGTGTCAGGTCTCGTGCTGTGTAAACGGTTTGTACATGCAGCAGATCCAAGCTTCCACGCGCCGCTGCAGGTCTGTCTAAATTCATTGTGACCGGGTGGCAGCCTGAGTTGAGACGGTCTTCAGGCACATTATCACATCTTGGACTGCAACCAGTCTTGCAGACGTGTCCTGGTGTTGGATATAGTGCTGTGTAAGCTAGGTTTCCCACCCTTCCGGGGGCCGAGGATAGTAGCCTTTGACCCCATGGGCGCATCCCTGGAGGTCGCTCTTGTGAAGATATGCTCCGTGGCAGAGGCATGTTGTGCAGCGCGAAAACAGCTGGAAAGACAGTGGTTTGGGCGTGCAAGATCTGCGCAGAGTGTTTTCTCCCTGCCGCACTGTCCATTTTTGTGGCCTGTCCGTCTTAGCAAAGGTCCAAGCAAGCCTTGCCGAGCTGGTCTTTTTCCGTAAAGAGGCCTCGCAGGTGACGTTGTTTAGCGAGGTTGTTCTGCTGCAGAGTGTCGCAGGAACAGTTGGAGGCTGATGCTGGATTCTTCTCTATGTACAGAGGCTTCTCTATGTACAGAGGCCAGGTCTGTGTCTGCTTTCCTTCTGGACCACATTGGGTGTGTCTTTCTGCGAGGCACCGCTGTTGCTGGACGCACGTTGCGGACGAGGTCCTGAGGAGCGGTAGCTTTGGAGCACAGGCCTGGTGGCTGGAGAAAGGTTCATGCGGATTCTGTGTGCTTGTGTGGGCGTGCCGGATTACAGACATGCCATGAACGCAGAAGGGCTGGACGCTCTCTACCAACTGGGTTTCTGCAGCTGTTTTGTAGCTGTGGCCAGACCTCGTTGCGTGGGGACCTGAAGGCGCGGAGCAAACCAAGTTTCTGCGGTGTGGAAGAAAGCTGATGCATGACACAAGGTGCTGGGTAATGCCTCCGAAGCAGAGCGACCAGCAGGTAGGCTTCTGTAGTTTGATCATGCTTGGTTGGAATGCCAAGCTATGCTTGTTAGGTACTGCACCAAGAGCTTCTGCGTCTGAAAGAGACGCGCAAGGCCTTGAAAGCAGAGCTGCGCGAGCAGTCGAAAGAGCATCGGAACCTGATGGCACGACGCAAGCGCCTCCTGCAGGCTCGCGTAGAGCGACGCCGTGTGATTTCGCGTTTCTGGCTTGCTGGCCAAGCCAGGCCACAAAGAACTTAAGCAACGAAGACCTCCAGCTGCTGCTACGTGCGCGAGAAGGTTTGGTCCAGACTCTTTCTATTATAGTAGACTTGTGGGTGTACTTCGGGGAGGCGTTGCTGCTGCTGCCCCCAACGGTCAACCTCTCGCTGACAACGCAGGCAGGAATGCGTGGGAACGTTGTTGTCACACACACACACAGACACACACACACACACACACAGACACGCACAAATTGCCGACAGGTGGCGGTGGCGCAGGAGAGCCTGCAGGTGAGAACGCATGTCCTGTCTCATGCGTCGTTCGGTCTAGACAGTTGCGTTGGACGTGTGGTGTCTGCTGGGTCGACCAGAGTTTTGCAAATCCAGCAAAGCATGATGTGCGGTGCATGCATGCAGGAGCGGGCGCTGAGCGTTGAAGGCTCTGTGGCTGGCGTTGCTTTTCCTAGACTGTGCGTGATTGGTTCCGGTGTTGATTTGGCCTGTCTGGAGCAGCCTGGCCTGGGGGGGCCTCCCCGGTAGACGGCGGTGTCTCTGTGGATTGATGTATTGGGGGCAACCACGTGTGAGCCTGAATCTGCTGTGGCCGTGCAGCGCGAGCCATAGTCTCAGTTGGCCTGGTGACTGTTGCTTCCTGGGAACACAGCCTAGCAAGCCAAGATTCCGGGCATAGCAGTCCTGAGCAACCCATGCTTGAGTGTGTAGTAAAGTCAACTTACCTTCCATGTGTTTTGAGAAGTTGCCTTAAACCCTTTCGAAGCCATGCCTCCACCTGGCCCCGAAGAGAAGCTGAGGGAGCTGTCTCGCCAAATAAAGAACCTGGGTCAGCGCTGCAAACGGGCCGCAGCGCCTGCTCCGACGGAAGTCGAAGGCGATGCGGATGGGTTCCGGCGTTGCGCTCCAGACAGCCTCATGGCCATGCTCTTTTATGGTTTCAGCGGTCATTGCTCCAGCGCGGCAGCTGATTTTGCTTGTGGCAGAGGTTGGAGGCCTGGCGCTTCGGCCGCTGCAGCCACCGAGGAGCAAGTGGCTACGGTTGAGTGGGCTTACATTCACATGCCCCTGTCGGTTCTTGTGGATTTGGAGTTAGAGCCATTAAAAATGGTTGGGCAGCGAGATGTCTATTGCGCGGCCAAGTATTGCCTGGAGCATCGACTTGTGGCCTACGTGGAGGAACAGAACACAGTGCATGGGATTGCACCATCTCGTGCGCAGATGCTAGACGTGGCTCTGGCGAGCATTCCTGCCGCCGCGCCGTCTTGCGTGAAAGAGCGCCTGGTTTCGCTTGTGCAGGGTACACCGCGGAAGGAGCGCAAGTACCTGGCAGCCTTTCGCCGCAGGTGGAGCGCAAGATATGGGTGCTTACGCACAGAAGATGTTGTTGATGTTGCTGAGCGCCGACAGAAGGCTGGCTGGGACAGGGTCCGCTGCGCGCGCATCGTTTTAAGAATCCTGGCGTGTTGTGATATGGGCTAGCAGCAGCGCAGCGGGGGGTTGTCTGTTACAGTGTTACCCACCCTCCGCAGTGATGGTTCGGCCTGGGAGCTTCATTCTTTCAGTGTCAAGCAGAGGGGAAGATTGGGAACATAGAAATATGGGCTAGTCTGCAGCGCAGGATCTAGGCTCGCTTGGTAAGACTGGTTTGTGTTCTGCTCTGGCCGCAGGAAAGGGCAGGCTGCTTTTTAGCTTCGTCTGGCAAGCCCGAAATGTAGGTCTTCATTCTGAAGCATTCCTCACTGTTCACTGTGCAGGCTACTGTATTCCATCAGTGGATGAATCACATTTGGCGTGACGCCGCTAAGCCGGTGCTGGTGGTGAACATGGATGAGACCTCGGTGGTGCGGCATCCAACTGGGCTCTGGGAACTGTCTTGAAGGGTCCGGCGAATAAGCCGCGGCGGGACCACGGGACTCTCTCGGACCGTCGTGGCAGCTTGTCGTTTCTGGCAAGCATCTGCCCGGACAGCGACGTGCAAGGCATACTGCCGCAGATTCTTCTGGCGAATGAGCATCAGGTCAGTCTTGCAGTTCTGCGCCGCTTGCAAGCTTCAGGTTCGCTTCCTCCCAACATGCACATCTGGCGAGAAGCATCTGGGTGGACGACGCATGCCATCATGAGGCGGTACCTCAGCTTCTTGGCGCGGTCTTTGGGCGAGGTGGTCGCCCAGCGGACGGTTGTCCTCCTTGTTGATGTTAACAGAGCACACATAGACCATTCGATACTTTTGCATGCCAGGCGACTGTCAATTCGAATGTGCTTTGTCCCGGCCAGGATGACACGATGGCTCCAGCCAGCAGACACAGCTATGTTCGCTCGTTTCAAGGCTGCGTTTCGTCGCACCTGGAGAGAGCAGAAAGCTTGCCTGCCTATGGGCGTGGTCTCCCAAGAGACATGGCTGCGCATAATTTTCGCCGCGATTGCCGCTGTCTTGCCGACGACCAATTGGTATGTCGCCTTCGACTCTCTTGGGCTGCTCGGGAACCAGAACTCCATGTCGCAGAGAGTGTGTGAGGAGCTGGGCTTGGCAATGCCACCGCAGGTCCCGCGTGGAGTTCCAAGTGCGGCGCAGGCTGCGTTGGTCTTCCCTAGTGGAATGAAAGTCGATGTGATGACTTGGGTGCATTTCGTGCCGAAGTCAGCTTTAAAAGGGTTGGCTATGCCAGCCGCGGCGCACGGCCCAGGGGCAGCAAGGCCTGCGGCGTCGGCGTCGGGTGCGTCTGGGAGTTCCGTCGCTCCGAGACGTCGTGCGCTCCCAGCTTCTGTTGAACCAGTGCGTTGGTATCGTGGACGCCCAGTCCGCGACCTGCGCTGATTTCAAAGAGCCCAGCAGCGTTTGAA